GCCAGATGAGCCTCGAAGAGCACGAGGTGTGGTGGGTCTGTCAGGGTGTGCACGGATCATTCATCAATCAAGAGGGATTTGGAACAGGGGAGGAACGACCGTGGAATCAGGAAGGAATGCAATGAAATAATCCGAGGCTGCACATACACCGCAGTACACTCGTATGAATAGAGTCATCACTTTAGTAGTGTATATACGTTGCTCAAGTATTCGCAAGATTACTAGTCACTACAAAGTGGCATGAATTGATGCAAATACCAAATTCATCTTCGAGACAAGCACGGAAAGTCCGATGTGTTCTCATTGTCGCGACCCAAACTAGGGGCACAAAACATGTTTCATTTCATTCAATGACATGACGTCCCCATGCGACCCCATCGGGACCATCCCGCAAGACCACCTCGCGTGTTTGCCTTCAATAGAGCCAAGACCAAGAATCATTAGACAAAGACCAGACCGGAAGAAGAGGATTGCGATCGCTGCGACTGGGGTTCCCATCGAGTCAAGAGCGGAGGCTCAGCGGCTCGATTGGAATCTCTTTTTGGAAGCAACTGTCATTTTAATTCTATGCAAAGCATTCCAATCACAAGCAGGGCAAGTCCCATCTCGTCTCAAACCGGTTCGAGCAGAAGCGACACCCGAACGCCTGATAGACTCCCGTCGTTCAGTTAACTCAATCTGCCCAACCTTTATGCTACAATTGACGCAGCCTCCAGGTCTTGGACCCTGGACCCTATTTAAACCTCAGCTGAGGGTGGAAAAGAAAACAACAACATGAGCACAGACAAAGACCGAGAGACATATGATCGCATGGTCTCATTCTGCCACTCTGTTCTGCCGCCTGCGTCCCTTATCGAGCAGCCATGCCATGATTAGGTACAGTAGTAGGGGCAGTAGTAAGATAGTCAGTGCATACGTGTACCTTTACATGTGACCGCTGCAGCCCTCAACGCCCGTCCGTTGTCCCGGGCAGCAGCTACCACTTCATCTCATCACGCTTGGCTGATAATCAACGCCGAGAACATAACGGCGTTGCCTCTCTTTCCCTTTCTCTTTCGATTTCTTTCAGGACCTTAGCTGACGGGTTTTCCAGAGACCGGCCGAGCGTTTGTTGTGCCCGCCCGTCGACTCGGTCGTGGCTTGCGATGCAATGCATTTCATTATCTCTTGCCCCGTTTGGGAAGATGCCAGTCCACGACTCGAGGTTAGTGGCGCAGGAACGTTCCTCTCATGTATCTATCATAGGTAAGATACATGCACTGGTACAAGATCGCGAAAGTATTTCTCCTCTGCTTTCCCAAACTATCAAACAGGTGGATCCATCCAATTATCGAAAAAAGCTTGTGGTTGGTCGCGGCCGAGCCAGTTTCTAGTCCGGGCGTCGACTTGCGTCTGGCCTAGACCCAAAGAATTCTGGTTCTCAGCTTTTTGTGCGTGTCTTGGTATACGTACCGCATCTGAAGTCCCCGGGAGCCCCTCCTTCCCGCAACCAACTCCATCGTCTTTCCTCTTGGGTTGGGAAGGTATTGTGGCCTCGACCATGTCCCTCCTGCCTTCGACCGCAGGTTGGTTCCTGCATTTCATGCCGTCCGCGAACTGCAGGTGCCTGCCCTGGCCACACCCGCGCCTTACTTTGTCATCAGATGAACACCACGCAACGCACCTCTTGAGGTTCCTCGCCTTAGGTAATTAATCAAGTGCCTCATGCATCGTGAAGGGGATTTCCCTCTTCCATCAAAAGCTTCAACTTCAGCCTCTTGTGCTTGTCAGACTTGATTTTCATTGCGGCATTGCCCCGTCTGGCTCATGCCCCCACGCCTTGGCCCCCAAGTGTCATCTCGCACGCGCCAGCGCAAAGTGTATGCGTCTCCATTGACCACTCATTTTGAGACACCGACATCTTCGAGAGTTCCATCCACAAGTCCTACCCAACGACTGACCATAGTGTCACGCTCGGGCCTTCTCAGATACACCAGGCGCATCTGATTGTGTTCTAAGGAGTAGAGGCATGCAAGCACTTTGTGCGTTCTTCAGAGTTGTCTCTTTTGCTGTCAGGAGGAAGCATCTTCTCCATCTCATTCTTCAGCAGCACTGATGCCCAAACAGGTGTCATCTTTCGTTCTCTCCGCGGACACTATGCGCCTCGGCGGTGCCGAATATTCTCCAAGTCCACATCAACTCTTTACTCAATAGACATGCCCTGGGAGTCTACGCACAACACAGCAATCGATGCTAGAATTCTCTTCGACCCCCGCGCAAGATCCAGAGGCGTTCAAAGCGCAGGCATCCTGGGGACTTCTGATATCGTCGCGCTATTGATAACACGGACGAAAGCCACGACGTCTGCCGCCGATAGCCCCGGATGTGGCTGAAAAGCTGGAGCGTTCAGGCCTTCCGCCCGGAGCGCCGAAATGAGACAGATTCCGGACCCACCCTACCATCACCCATCGAGATCAAGACTAGAGCCTCTACTCCCTTCTGGACCATGCTAATCATTATTTCTGGCGGCTCTCGGACACTTCCCGCTCAACTAAGATGTACATGCATCGCATCAACCGAGGCTACACCAATAGTCATCATCGTTCTCATGATGGACCGTTTTCCATCAACATGAGAGCATGGGGACGGCATTTCCGATCACCCGGCGAACTCAAGTGCGATTGCTATCAGTCGATGCTTCTCGAGCCACTCTCGGCTCGAGCCGAACACGTGGCGCTGACGATGCCGGAAATTTGTGTCTCGGTATGATATCCCTGGGCCAGTCTTCTTCAACAGATCTACACGAGGATGTTGCACCATCGACTGCTCCAACCATTCTAACTATACCAAGACCGGCATCACAATGCTGCCCACTAACATATGAGTGATCAGAGATCTCAAGGGATTTCCTGGGAGTGCCATCTCGAGCCACATAGTGTCTATGCCGCGCGTTCAGTCGATCACTAGCTCCTCCGACTCTCATCCTCGACATCATCGAAGCCGGTGGACCTATTTTCTTGCCCCATGCGAACTTATTGACTACATGATCTGGCCAAGAGGGTGAAGAGTCGGCAAGCGGATCCCATGTTCAAATTGAAAACTCTGGTCTTCAGATGATCCAACTGAAGATTGTTCTAAGTATCTGCCTGCGTGACGAATTCGAACCGTTTACACAGCCTGAGTCGGTCATCTTGGGCTAACATCTGTATCTGTCCACCGCTTTACAAGAGTCGAGCCTTCCGGACGGGTATGTCAAACAAGACGCTCTTCTGACATTCTGCACCGCTGTGTTATGGATCACTTCCACCCCTATGTCGACAAATCAGGGATAACATGAAATTGCATCGATCATTGTCCCTGGAGTCCAGTCAATGGTCCCATGATAGTCTCATCAACATACATCCGCGAGGTCAGGCTTGTAGCTTTGCGGTGGTTTTCTTCAGGCTTTACAGGCACAGAAAATGGATTTCAGCGGGATCTAGCTCTCGAGGCAAACCACGCGGAACGGTACATAGATCAACTTCACGATACTCAGGCTATATCCCAAGCTCGTGCTCAGCTCGGTACAATGATGTCAACTCAGGAATCACGATACATCTAGGTTGATTGCCTGTCGAGACAGCGGCGCTGGCCAGAAAAGTCAAACACGGAGGTTATGAACTCTCAGACTTGCAGCTATGTATGAGCTCTGGTTCTGATGGAGAGCCATCGATGTGCGAGTTCACGAACGCGTTTCCTCTTCCTCCTCTCAACGCATGGAGATCCATATGGGCTCGATCACGACCGACGCGATTACCCTCATAAGGTTTTAACGATGCTGGCAACGGTCCGGCCGACAAAGAGCATTCTCTCTGATATCGCAAGCTCCTCCACTGTCGTTTAGGTCCATCCATCCAGGTTGCAGCGATAATACCCGCTACCGGACTGTCGTCGTCTTGGGCATCAAACATGTACTACGGAGTGGTGGTGCTCGAAATGGAAGTTCATTGTCTCAGCCGACGAGCTGACAATGGAGAGTTCCCTAGCCAAGGACGCATAGGCCATCGTGCGAGACAGACGCTCTGCTGATGATCGATTCTTCTCCAGGTGGTCCTATGAGGCCGCAATGTTTGCCTCAATGGATACGTGCGACGTGAGGGACTACTGGACCAGCCAGAGCGGAAACCTCATGGTTACTCCAACAAACTGCCCAGGACAAACACAAGGAAGAGGCAGCCCAACTATCGACGAATCGCGCAACATATCTATGCTTGCGCTATTAGTCAACTTCTCTGGCGCTGATGAAGAATTATTTCATCAGCATGTCCTAGATCGTCAGACTCTTCGTTGCCGTCGATCCTCACACCTATGAGGGGATGTACGACCTGCTCCACCGTTACTATCAAGCGTCACATGTCAAATGCTGAAGGTTTGGTCATTTCGCATTCCCGTCGCCAGCAGTGCTGTTCATTGGTGTTATGCGGCGCTGGTTCATCTACAGCATGTTTAGTCCGCATTGCTTCAGCACACCTCCAGCAATGAAGCGCCAAAGAAGTCGTTCGGATGCTGCTCTGCACAAGTGGCACATGTTCTGAGTCCTCGGCCGGACGGCGTCGGCATAGAAATCTTTTTACGCAAGTCGGCGCCGAGGAGCGGAGGTTTTAGTTGCCGATGCCGGGTCAACATTTGTTGAGGGTTAAATAATCCGGAGGGAGCGGAACGGAGCGGGCAAGCTTTCCGACCTCCTAGAGTTCCTGAACGGGTATAGCTGAATGGCAAGTGCCCGCAAGAGCCGGCCGGGATTGGGCATTTCGCCGACGGTCCAACAGTCGAAATTTCAAACACCATGCTGGCTTGCTGGTGCTTCGGTACCAGCTTAGGAGGTGTCGCGAACTATGGACTTCGGTAGCATCCGGCGACGATCTGCAGGGCTGAACGAGTATCCGTACGGGATAGAAGGAATACGCGGGATGGCCGGGTTCATCGCATAAACGCGGAAATGACGAGGCAACATGAACGCACCCAATCCGGACTAGGTGAAGTCGCCGAACGACGTTGGCTGATGTTTGCACCGAGACTTGGGGTAAGTTGAATAACGTTTTGCTCGGGGAGACTGATAAACGCCATCATTGGCGTCGAGTGCTCAGATATCACGAAAAGCCCCGGCTAGAGATATCCGCCTTAGTTCAAAGAAGCTTTGCTAGGCGAACAAGGTCAGCAGAGGCACTACGACCTTATCAACCATCACAAAGCTTTTTCGCTTCCCTTGTCAGTCTCGCTAGGAAATCGCCGAGCAAAGGATGGCCGGACCACGGGGTCGGCGATGGCGGATTGTGATGATGTATGCCAAGACAATTTGTCGAGCTCGCATTGAAGGGCGGGTGCGCCGGCCCCTCCCATCATCAATGAAGCCACCCTCCTGCAGAAGCATGCCACCGACCATTGAAATTAGAGTCGGGTTGTCGAGAATTTTCATCACTGATCTAAGGCAGGCACAGCATGGCGGCGGCATCTCTTTGGACGCCGACACCCCGTTCGAAGCGTGGGAAGCGTGGGGGAGGACGATTGGGATTCGGCCAACAGTTTTGTGTCACCCATCCACCGCTGTTGAGTCCATTTGTGATCTGCCAGCTAGCCTCTCCAGCTCTCGACGGTGCTGACGACTTGGTGGCAGCATGCAAAAGAGGTCTTTATGTTAGGTGCGGAGAAAGACGAAAAGACATACGCAACCTGCAAATTCAGCCATGGTCGAGGTCGCGTGTTTGTCAGATGAGTGCGGTAATGAACGCCTCCCAAGAATACCTAGGGACTGGAAACCCCAACACGCAAGCCCCTGAGGAGGGAGGGTCATCATCCATAGGAGCGGAGCGGAATTCTAGCGGCGGCACGCAGCAGAAGAGCCAATTTCCATGGCAAGGGGGATCTCCACGGAGTAATCGACAAATTGTGCGACCTCTGCGCTGGGTTTTTGTCTTTCTTTTCCCGCCGTTGAACACGAGGGAGGAAAATGCCTGCAAGCGGTGGGCTGTGAACGGACCCGTCTCCACGAACTCAAGAAGGACAAGACGGTTCTGTCGGATGTCGCGGATGCAGACCGCTCCACCATGTTGCCCGATCCCCTGTCTGATTGGTCGGCTGTCAGCTTACGGTGTCGTGTGCCTCGTCGCATGCCCTCCGTCATCTTCGATCCCTCCGACGCCCACCTTCCCTCTAGCGGACGCGCGCCTGATTGATAACAGAGCCGCGTTCCCTAAGCGGACGTCGGAGCACATGTTCCCCCTGAAGGGAGTACTAAGTACGCAGTCAAGGCAAAGCCGCAAAGGCATGAAGCCGCAGCGAACCTCCAGAGAAGCTGGAGGGCACGGAAGGGGGAAACAAGGGAGAGTATGAGGGAACGGACCTGAGCTTCGAAGCATGACGGAATAATTGAAGCGCAGGAAGAAAGAGACTTTGTTTCGTGGTTGGACGTGCTTGACAGAACAAACTACCTACGTCAGGTAGCCAAGCTCGGAACATGCAGAGCTAAGAGCATAACCGCACCGCAACGGTGAGCTGCCAACAACTTGGAGGGAGCACGCGACATTTCGTCTGTTGTCTTCTCTCTCACTCTGCTGCTCCCTACTGAGTCTACAGTCCTCGCTCTTGTCTCATCCCAAGCCGTTGGCGACCGACAACACACCCAAGCTAGAGTCTGAAAGGACGTTCTCTGGGTGCGAATTGAATTCCCGGGTGCGCCCACACACCAATCAAGCCAAGCAAAAGCTCTCATCTCACACAGGGCGACAGAAAGACGCAGCACACAAAAGGAAGATGTAACCCTTGGCGCCCGCGGCACTTGGCGGGCGATTCGTCCACGTCAGGGATCCCAGCCCGTCCGCCCAACAGCCCACAACCCGCTATTGGCTACAGATCGGAATTCCGTGTCATGGACAGGGTTGGTCACGGGCAGCAGAGCCTTTCCCACCATCCACAATCCACTTGGGGCCATTGCGAGAGGGACCAGGGTGGGTTCGAATTCGACCTCAGGTGCGCGGCTTGAGCTTGAGTTCCTCACTTTCCTCCCCAGCACCTCGGAGCCATGCGGAGCCCGCTGATGTGGACTGTGGCGGGTGGTGGGAGTGCGAACTTTGCGAGGAAGGACGAGGAGGGCGAAGACAGCCTAGGAGGATGCGCAATGCATGGCATGGGCTGCTGGATTCGCTACCTTACCTTTACGCAAAGTGCAAAGGCCACCAACCCGGTAAATCTGTATACGGTCGGTCAAGGTCCAGCTTGGTGGGTTGTGCCGAGCCTGGGCTTTCTGCTCAAAGTGTGCCGAAAGTCCATGTTCTATTACGGTATTATTAACAGATCCATCTGATCCATGCTGCGTGATGAACGTCGCTACCTCGAGCTCCCCCGTTTGTTGTTGATTACCTTTCGACATTCCCGCTCGACAGGTCTACCTTCTTAATCTTGACTACTACACCTCTTCTCACTTATCCATACTCCGTACACTACTCACTTTAAATCTCCATCAGGAAATCCCCAGTAGTTCAGGAGACATTCAAATTGCCCCATTTGACACGGACAATCTTAAACTCACATCCCCGACCTTCCGGTCGCCTCTCTCATTGGACCTTGGCCCAGCACACACCGGTGAACTGAGACTGTCAGATCCATCCCACCCGCACGCATCCAGCCTTCGGGACCTGTGGCCCTTGCCGAACCTCCCGCGCCCTCAAATACCACACGGCAGCAGTCACAACTGGAGTAGCCAAGTTTCTCCAGTCTCCTCATACCTCTCTCACTAATCGCCGTCTCCATCGTCGGCTGTTTATTCCGTCATCAGTCAGTCAGTCACCAGTCACACAAGGAAAGAAAAGAAAGATACAAAAGGAAATATGGGTATCGGTGCCGTGGCAGAGCCCTTGGTGGTCATCACCCTTTTGTTTGGAGGAACGTGGTTCAACCGCAATATTGGCGACACCAACGCCTACGACAACCTGGGATGGAAGGGAGCCGGCCTCGACGATGCCGAGCACAAGCGATCCGACGAGCGCCGTTCCGGCAACTCGACTCCGGACTCTGAAGAGTCTCTCCTCTCTCTCGGTGCCTGGAGCTCATCATCAACACTGACACCGCAAGAAGAGCCGCCGCGACGCTCTCGTAGGATCAAGTTCTTTGGATACCAGCGCATCGTCACGACACCAAACACCAGAGTATACAAGGACAGACTTCTCAGCCGAGTCCTCCGCAAGTTCCCCTTCTTGGTCGAGGCATGGTACTGGGCCCTGATTTACTGGGTAAGTGGAAAACTCCTAATGCCGTCTTCCCGGCAATTACGTCTGGCCTTTTCTGCTAACACAATCAAACTTTAGGTGTACCAAGTCGGCCGCGCCTTCACCGCGCTCACCCTCAACGAGGGAACCGTCGACGTGGCGCGCAAGCATGCGCTCCAGCTCATTCACCTGGAGCAGCGCCTCCACGTCTTCATCGAGGTCCCCGTCCAGCAGTACTTTTTGCAAATGCCCACGGTGATGCACTGGATCAACCGCATCTACTCCTTCATCCACATCCCGGGCACCATCCTCTTCCTCGTCATCCTCTACTTTATCACCACCACCCGCAAGCGCCGCGCCGTCTCCGCCAAGCTCGGCGGCAACGAGAACATTCGCTGGAACTCGGCCGGCCCCGCTCTGTACGAGGCCCGCCGCCGCACCATGGCCACCTGCAACCTGCTCGCCTTTGTCGTCTTCACACTCTGGCCCTGCATGCCTCCCCGTCTCTTGAGCGATCCCAACTACAACGGCCCCGATGCCGGCGAGGCCAAGAGCTTCGGCTTCGTGGATACCGTGCATAGCTCTACCGGCGAGAGCAGCGTTTGGACGACGAACAAATTTTGCAACCAGTATGGTGAGTTTTGAACACCCAATCCATTTTGCAGCCCTTACATTGGATCTCTTACTAACAGGAGAACAGCCGCCATGCCCTCCTTGCACTTTGGCTACTCCCTGCTCATCGGCCTCACCGTCGCGACCTTGCCCCTCCCCTCGATCCGCTCGCGGCCCTGGAAGCGCTTCGCCATTGTTGCCGTCGGCATGGCCTACCCGGCCCTGATCCTCACCGCCATCGTCGCGACCGCGAACCACTTTGTCCTCGACGCCGTTGCCGGTGCCATTGTCTGCGGTCTGGCCTGGAACTGCAACGGCGTGCTGCTCAACCTGCTCGTCGTGGAGGACTACTTCCTTCGTCTCTTGCGCATCCACAAGCCCGTCAACTGGACTGATCCCGAGGCGACGATTGATACCAATGAGTGGAAGCCTAGCACGGTTCTTGATGAGATCTGAAAGCTACGAAATTCAATGCCGATCTTTCTCTGTTTTGCAAATGGCGCATTATGCTTTTGATGGGGAAGGGATGGATTAGAAACTCTTTTGTAATGGCTTATGGCTTGGATCATATTCTTCATGCGTTACCTTTTGCATTGAGAGAAAACAGGTCAAGAAAAAGAGGTTTTTGCGGGCATGTGTGTGAATAGTACAAGTCTCGCATGATGTGGCGAGCATTTTGGGTTCAAGTGGCGGAGTTCCGTGGGCTCTTTTCTTTTCTCTCTTTTGTTTAACGCAACAATGCGAAACCGTCCCCGTTCAGACAACGTGGATAACTTGTTGGCTTCGGACGATGTTAGGCTTACGAACACAAGAGCAAGAAAATAAGCTCCATATAATGGCATTATTCGAAGAATACGATGACCAATTGTCCTACGTTTGATGGTGATGGTGCGTCCGGTTCTTCGTTTCCATATCAAGACATTCTGACGGCTGGTTGGCCTGGGCAAAAGCCAAATGCTACATTTGATTACCGAGGTCTTTGCCTTGCCAAGCCGGCAATGGAATGTTTTTAATGTGTTCAAGACGTTTTCCTTTGAGTTGCTCGGTCTTTTTTTTTTTTTGGTCTTGAATGTTTGTCCGCTTTGACAGGCTGGTTCGCACGGATACGACAACCGAGCGAACGTTTACGGTTTAGGACGCTTTTGTTTCCGGGGGGCGGCAAGAACCTTATTTCGCTGTTTGGGGTGCCGATGTCATGCCGGGTTGGGTTTGAACATGTGGCTGGGTTCGAAGTTTCAGTAGTCCGTGTAGGTGGTGGTGGTGTCTTATTCCTCCCGTTCAAACTTGAGACGATGTTCTCCAAAGAAGCCGTTGTGGGAGGCGATTCCCTGCCTTGGGAAGCGAAGTTGCGAGAGGGAATGTTGGATTGATGTAGGAATAAGCAGGTAGTACCAACAAAGTAACCGAGAAAGCCTAAATCAGAAGCTTGGACTGCCCGGTGGTGGATTTGATCGGCTCCTGGTGGAGGAGAGAAGGTCCCAGAGGTCTGGGTGTTGAAATAAGATTCTGGGGGGCATGCAAGGTCAGCATTTTGCAGTTTCCGTGTCCCAGCTGTCCCAGAGGTAAGGGAAGCGACTATGACAGCGGAAAATGACGGTATTCGATTGGCGTTCCCGTTCCTCCGCACCCCAACCGTGCCAGCCTAGCTCTTGGGGGGCTTGTTTTTGGGCGGGAATGATGGCCACAGGGCGGTGCCGTTAGATCCGAGTGTTGCGGCGGGCGGGGCGGACTGGGTGTGGAGTACACGGGACTCCACTACCGCCCGGAGTGTTGGAGTGTACGGAGTGGAGTGGTGGTGAATGGATCCACTCTGGATGCCGCGGGCGCCGGTTGCCGTTGAGAGGAATCGCGATGTTTTGCTTACCCCGCCGCGTCTCCCTTATCTGATCCTCTCCCCGCCTCTACACGGCTCCGGGGATGATTTTAGCTTGCGACCTTTCACTCCGTTTTTGAGCGACCCCCGGAGCCGTGATCGGCTTCGCCGCCCGTCACATGGCGCCGGCCCTCCCCTTAATTAGATGGCCCTGGCCGCTTGGTGACATTCGGAGGCTTGGCGAGCGAGCCGATGCTGGACTTTTGAGGACAGATGCCCCGAGAGTTGTTGCTGACCGGGGCGAGACGCGATCAACCAGAAACGTGACCTAGGCCTTTGCCTCCCCACGCTCTCCCCCGGCTGGAGAACAGCTTCAATGGGGGATGGGGACGACCATCATTGCTCAAAGCAGTCCGTTGCAACGTCGTTATATTTTTCCGCCTTGGCGGTGCATGATGCAGTGCATCATCGAGCTCCCCTCTTCTGCTCCCCCTCGCTAATTCCACCAACAGGTCTTGCGAAATTCCTCCATTGAGAGGTGTTTGGGGGTCCTGACTTCTTGCAACGTCTTCGTCTGTCCAACTAGAGAGCTCAATTGATTGTTGTCGAGGCGCAGTTGCTTGCATGTGCCATGCACTGCGGATGTTTATCGGCGCACCGGAGATTGGGGGACGACTGAAGTCGTCATGAAGGCCTCCAGAATTTGTCCATGGTGCGGTTGTACGTTGCGGACTGCGTTTAAGGATGAGCGATGGGTACGGCGTTACGAAGAGGTATATATGCAAGCAAGTCCATAGTAGTGATTCCAACACATCTGGTCCTCCCATCCAGTGTTATTGGAGACTCACTGCTAGACTCCCTGGGCTTCTTTCAAACTCCTCTCATCCTTTCCAGTACCCAAGATGCGCGCCTCCGCTCCCTTCTTAGCCCTCGCGGGCACCCTCGCCCTAGCTCAGGCCCCCTCCCGCCCCTACTCAACCTGGCTCGCCTCCTCCTTCGTCGCCCGCAAAGCGCCCATCGACGCAGGCTACGGCCCAGCCGTCCTCTACGAAGGCATCGCCCGCGTCGCCGCCGCCGCCTCCAACGCGACTCTCCTTCGCGCCGCCGAGACCGCCGTCTCCTCCCTCGTCTCCGACGCCGGCATCCTCGACGGCTGGGACCCGGAGTGGTACTCCCTCGACGACATCCGCATCGGCAACAACCTCCTCTGGTTCTACCAGCGCAACACTACAGCGGGAGCGAAGTACAAGATCGCGGCGGACGGGCTGCGGCAGCAGCTGAACCGGTGGCCGCGGACGCCCAGCGGTGGGTTCTGGCATCGCGCGCCGATTTACGAGGATCAGATGTGGTTGGATGGTATTTACATGGCCGACTCGTTCTACGCGACGTATGTCTCGCTGTTCGAGAAGGGGAATACCACGGCGTGGGGGGAGATCGCACTGCAGTTTGATCTGATTGAGGAACATACCCGGAACCACACGACCAATCTCCTCGTGCACGGGTACGACGAGGCAAAGGACGCCGTCTGGGCGGACCCCGTGACAGGAGCGAGCCCGTTGGTGTGGAACCGGGCCGTCGGGTGGTACTTCATGGCGCTCATTGATACGCTGCAGGTCTATCCCAAGAACCTGCCGGGATACGCGCGGCTGCAAAAGTACTTTGTCACCCTCGCGGACGGGCTGGCGAGGAGCCAGGATGCGTCGGGAGGGTGGTGGCTCATCATGAACGAGGGGTACCAGACGCGCAAGGGCAACTACCTCGAGTCGAGCGCCGCGGCCATGTTTGCGTACGGTCTGCTGCGCGGTGTCCGAGATGGGTTCTTAGAGGCCAAGTACAAGGACGTCGGGCTCAAGGCGTACAAGGCGCTTGTGAGGGACTTCATCCGGGATGATAAGAATGGGCTCATCAGCTTCACGGGCACGGTACAAGTTGGAAGTTTGAATTCGAACGCGAGTTTCGAGGTAAGTTGTTAATTCCCCCGAGATGCCTCGTAAGGATTGCTTTGCTAACGGGAGTTTCTAGTACTACACCAGCATCCCGATTGTCGAGAACGATCACCGTGGTAGCGGGTCTTTCATGTTTGCCGCGATTGAGGCCGAGCTGGCTAAGTAAACATTGGAATAAGAAAGGATCTATGCTTAGACCTGAGCCCTAGAACAGAAATAAAGCTTCCTTGTTTGGCGTTGCAGATCCAAGCTGGTTTCGTGTCAATGCCCCTGCCTGACAGTAAAGATCTGACTCACAACAAAACTTTGTGCAGCGAGAGGCCACCGTGACTATCTACGCCCTGTTCAGAGGGTTCCTCTCTCTAAGCTTTTGCCCATATCTATATAACAGAAGAGGGATCGGGACCATGGCCAAACTAACAAAACCGAGCACCGAACTGCCCCATCCTAGGCCAAGGTTCCTGTACAGACTAGGCCCAACCAGAGGGAGAAATCCACCTATAAGACAGCGAGCCGATACAACGCAAGCATACGAAGAGGATGCATAGGGCCCAGAGGCGTCAATCAAGTAAGCCTGAGAAGACGCGTTGATCCCAACCTGAGCAAATCCAAACGGCGCCAAACTGATCAAGGGGACGGTCCAATGCGCCCTCGCGTACGTCGACCAGCCATACCAGAAGAACGTGACGGGGATGAACAGGGCTGGAATGAAGGCGGTGACTAGTCTCATCTCTGGCTCATACACGCCGCTATTCTTCTTTGCGAGGAGTGCGGCGATGAGGTCTGAGGTTTTGGCGAAGAGGAGGAGACCGATTAGACTTCCGAAGCCGAGGCCTATGTAGGCAAGTCCGGCTGTCTCGAGGGGCCAGCCGTAGACTTCTTGGAAGAAGGAGGATGTGGATGTGAGGAGGATGTAGAGGAGAGCGGAGATGAAGCCCGTCATGATGCAAAAGACCGGCACGAGGGGTGAGCGGAATAGCATCGTCCAGGGGCGTTGAAGTGCTTGTCCAAGTGTTTGGGTTTTCTTCTTGGACGATATTCCGACCTGGTTATCATAACAGCTCAGTAAGTCCGTCCTCCCAGTTTCTTTTCCGATCCTCAACGCTTTCTGGCGTAGAATGATATGCGCATTCGTCTCTGGGGTGAGCAGATTCATCAGGATCGTCACGAGGGCAGAGGCAATGAGAAGCGTCCAAAAGATCCAGCGCCACCCTGCGCGTTGCGTGATGATACCTCCAAACAAGGGCCCGAGCACGGGCCCGAATAGAGACCCGGTCGTGATGATTGCGTTTGGGGCGCCGCGCTCGTGGACGTCGTAAAGGTCTGCCAACATGCCTCCCGCGACGGAGAAGCATGCTGAGGCGCCGAAGCCTGAAATTGTGCGGAAGGCGAGGAGACTTCCGATGTTGGGGGACAGGGCGCTGCCGACGTGGGTGAGGGTGTAGAAGATGTTGGCGTAGTAGAATACTGCGCGTCGACCGTAAAATTCGCTGAGCGGTGATAGAAGAAGAGGTCCGACCTTGAGGAAGGGTTGATGAGCACGTGTACAATGTTTGATTTGCAAAGTGATGCCTAGCAAAGGAAATTGCTTTACTTACAAGGTAGCCAAAGACGTAAATAGTTGTAACCATTGAAGACACTGTAGATGAATCATTGTGAAACTCAGAGTCAATACTCGAAGCAGCTGGCGCAATGATTGAAGATGTCAAGAAACTACCAAAGGCACAGCGTCAGTCCTTTGTTTTATCCGCTTCAGCATCTAGGCTGAGCTCCGAACCTAAGCACTATCATGCAGCTAAGCAGGGCCAGAATGGTAGATTTCTTCGTCGACGGGAAGTTTCTGTAACATATGAGCATACTCTAGACTTAGAACAGGACACAGGGCGTCCGACATGTTGCCATGTAGTTCTCACCTTGGGTTCTGGGTGTCATGCTGGTCATCCCATGCCACCACCCCCCTGTCGAGATCAGACACAGGGTCGGACTCGGCAAGATCGTTGGGCGAATTGGTATCAACAACACCCATTGTATAAATTGGAGGTAGAGTGTGCTTGAACAGATAATAATAGAGGCTTAAAGGTCAAGTACATTCTTAATTCTCAACATTCCCTTGAAATACTCGACTTCGTCACTTAGACTATAGTAGGTTCACCCGATCGGCCGATCGGCCAAAATGGGGCACACGGGGAAACCTCGGGAGGCGCACCGAGACTCAAACGCTATCATCATCTTTCCGGTCAGTATGACTCTAGCTCATAATTCGATTTAGCAAATTCATCTTACCGACTACAAGCTCTCTTCACACCATTGCCTGGATCCATTGGAACGAACCTGCGATGAGTGACCAAAGACGTCTAGGACCACGAGACCGTCCTTCTTGCAAGCCCTGTCGCGATCGCAAGGTTCGCTGCAATCGGGGCCTCCCTTGCTCGCAGTGCACCCGCTTACAGCTCTCGTGTGTGTTCGAGGCTAGAACGAGAAGGGCCCCCGTAAATGCTCGATCGGTCAAGTCTTCTTCGCCATGCGATCCGAACGTGCCATCATTTTGCGAAACTCCTGCAAATCATCAAGCAAATGAGTCATCGTCACAACTCCCGCCAGGGCAAATTATACAACCGACGAACCAGGAAGTTCTTGACCGACTTGCCCGAGTTGAAGGCCTCTTATCCCATCTCGTTTCCTCTGTTCGCGACGGAGCCCCAGTGGGAGACTCAGGTGGACAGAGCAAGCCTGAGACGGACCACGTCCGGGCCCCACCGATCCTGCCATCACAAGAAGTTCTTGTTGGAGATGGCGAGAGAGGAAACTTTGTAGACGATTCAGTATTTGTCGGATTGTTTCTTGGGGTAATGGCTCCAGCAACTTCTAGTCTAAAGACAATATTGATGTTCCCTAGGACCCGCCTAGACAACGGCCCATAGCCGGCACCAAGACAAGAGATCCTGCTACTAACGCAACAACTCAACATATACCTCCCCACAACGGCATAGCTGCCACCGATATCTTTGGATCAGACCTGGAAATCATATCAGTACCTCCTCACATCCTCACCAGGCTATGGATCATCTATCTGCAAAATGTTGATCCCTTGATGAAAATACTTCACATACCCACGATCCAGCCAGTGATGCTCGGCGTGGCAGCCAAGCCTCAAGGAGCGGACCACACGACTCTCGCTCTGCTTTATGCTACTGCCTTTGCGGCAATCACCAGCATGTCTAGCACCGAGGTCGCAACGCAACTAGGAACCGAGAGGTTGGTTCTCCTGCGCCACTTTATGCGAGAAATAGACGGCGCATTCACGAGCGCTCAGTTCTTACTTTATCCGAACGTGCAGGGCTTGAAGGCTCTAGCAATCTACCTAGTATGATAGTCTTCCTTCACTAATACTCCTTGACTATGCTGATCATACACATAGACTGCGCTAAGAACCTTCGATACCGGCCGAACCATCTGGACACTCACCGGCCTCGCCATCAGAATAGCAGAGTCCCTCGGCGTGCACGAAGACGGCTCCCGTCTCGGCCTGGGTCCCTTCGAGACGGAAATGCGGTGTCGTCTCTGGTGGCATCTCACAGCCCTAGACGCCACGGCGCCCGAAAGCCATGGGTTCAACAACACAATGGCCGACCGCGGCAAAATCTTTCGCTTGCCGCTGAATGTCACCGATACCGAGCTATGGCCCCAGATGGATAAGGCCCCTACCGGAAGAGACGAATGGACCGAAACGACTTTTTCCATCATGAACCTGGACCTCTGCCGCAACCTGCGCCACGCCGTCTCCGCTGTCGGGGCGGCGGACGAGCAGACGAGAGAGGCCAAGATCCAGCAGACGGAGTCGTCCATGGCTCACCGCTGGCTTCGATTCGCACCCAATAATAACGACGTGTGTCGTGCCGCGGAGTCTCTGCTTCGGATATCTGTATCCAAAGCGCGGTTCATCCTGATGCTTCAGGCCTGGCTGTCGGCGCCGATGGAAAATGAGTACAGGTATCGGTACCTACCCCATTCCCTGTTCACCAATGCCATCGAACTGCTCGAGCAAGGATATCTGCTACAATCAGGGAAGCTTTTCCCCGGTTACGCTTGGTTCTACAAGCAGCATCCGCAGCTGTACGCCCTGTTCCTCACGCTCCGTACGCTCGTCGATTCGCCCGAACGAAGGGAGGCGAAGCGCGCTTGGATTGCTGTGGATAACTACATTGTCTGCCTCGCTGATTTTGAGGAAGCGAATGAGCGAAGGGGGAAGAAGAGTTGCGTGTGGGCGGCTATGGGGCCGTTGCGAGATCGGGCGAGGGAGTCGATTCGACAGCGTGAAACCACCGAGGACATGCCAATGACGGTAGCAGCAGCAGCAGCAGCGTCCCCAAAGATGCCTCCTGGGGACAATTTTGGCACTGGGGTATCTCAACCGTGGAATGCAATCGCGCTTGAGCCGCTGGCGTTTGACAATATCCTTACGTGGCATGATTTCTCAGATTTATTTGATGTCATTTGAGATTAAGGCAGAAGCAATCTGACAATCCACTTGCCAACTTTGTTAGGCATATCGAGAGACAAGCCTCTTCTTGATTTGTACATTGAAATCACACACGTCTAGGAAAGAACCTAGAAACCGAATTTCTTCCACTCCAATTTCTCTGGCCATTTTGAGTTTACTTAGCAGGACTAGAAGCAGATAGGGCGGGTCTCCTCGGTCAGAGAACAAGCCCAACCACTCCAGGGTAGGTGGGTTCAGAATTCTTTTTTGAGAGCAAGACCTCGATGTAACCGCGAGTTTCGAATAATAATCCACCCGTGTCCTTGTCTCAGGGATTACCTTCGTAAACCCCATTTAGGGCGGTAACATATTAGGAAGCTTCCAGGCTCCATTCTTGCGCCTAGGATGGGCCATGAAGAACTGACTCAACGCTGATCAGGCACATTGGGCAGCTTGACGAGGCCAACAAATACGTGTGCGTTTCTCTAGTGGTCGACAGTATCTTGTTCATGCTTCTTAACCCTAGCCATTCACCTCGTGGCCAAGCTCGACTGGTGTTAAGCCGAGGTTTGAGAAAGGATACAGGCAGGATGCAGGTGCCTTTCACGGTCTCGATTTCGAACGCTGCGGGCCTACGTTGGGGGTCTTGCCAAGTCATATAGTGCCTTTGGTAAGTTGCCAATGATTCATGATGCTCCGCGAAGAATTGTCTGTTGAGTCCTTCGATTTGGTGAATTGATAGCTGCCTAATCGCGTCCATCTCACAAAGCTTCCCAATGGAGTTAGCAATCAATGAAAGCACGGTAAGCTGTGCCTTGGTAGTACCTTGCCAAGTTGCCACATCTCAAAACTAAATGCGTTGGGCTAAGCGGCTTGCCTTTCCCCTCTCGATAAACATGCATACTTTTAATGAGACAAATTTGCACCCAATCATTTGCCTGCGTCAAGCGATCTTGCACTGGTGCCCACTTCCCATGCAGGCTTTCTCTCAGCTGGCGACGTGGAACGCTGCACATTTTCGTTAGTCGTCTTACACACCATCTTTCGTATTTCCAAGTAAAGAGAGCCGTACATCCTACTTGTGGAGAAAAAACGCGGGTGGATCGACGATAGCGTGGTGGAGACCAGCGATTTGAGTCCGAGAAACAGCTGGTAATGATGCCCCCACAGACTTGCTGGATGACAAGCAAATAAACCTGATGTTCATTTCCATGAAATAAAGAGTTGAGCTTTGAAATTATTCTGCTGGCTGATTGTAAAATAGAGCATGGACGCTCATTGGTTACCAACCTGTTGTCCAGTGCATCGGTCTTTCGCCTATATATGGCTCTCATAGCGAAGTTGTATGCAAGTGCGAGTCTCCAGCCGCATAGTACACCGGCCGTAAAGACACCGCCGCCGCACGTTTCAGTAGTTTTCACGTGAAAACGCGGCCTGTCTTTAACAGCAATACCATGTTTACCAACGGGTGTCTCCGTTCTGTTGGAGCGGCGCCAACGACGATCATGGGCCGCATATGCAGGTCGGACCGGACAGCATGATCGTGACCAGGTCTGAATCACTGGGGTTTTTACCGAATAGATTTATGATAGGCCAAAACGTACGAAGTGCCACTTGGAATACATTGTGCTATGTTCAAGAATATCGAATTTTAGGCATCCCTTCGTAACATGAATATTATCGCCAGTCTTGGATTTCATCCACTTCTTGAGCTCGTCCAAAGTGTCGTTATCAATGTTCTTTCCAAAAGATCTTCCTTCCCACGCGGAGGTGCCGGGATGACATGCACCCAGGAACCGGTTGGTCCAACAGTCCGAGACCGTCAGCAATGGGTAACCCAAAATGGAACATCCCACGACCCAATTTTGTCAGAAATTCCACGTTGTGGGCCACAGCATTCCCCGAAACGCAGGCACAAGGTCTCGCAAAAGGCGAAGGGAGAAAACACGTTGTGCCGTGCCACCCGTCCATCCGTTCTGCACTTCTTTCGCACGGAATGAATGGGCGGTATGGAAGATTCGAAGAAACGCAGTCGTCCGCGTGGCCTGGACCAACTGCAGGCATTCAAGTAGCACAAATGCAACAGTCTGCCCAATGGAACAATGTACAAGAAGAAGAACGGTGTATATATCCCCAAGCACAGTCCACCTTTGTACGCAGTGCGTATTACAGCTTGCTTGTTGCTTCAATATCACCAATTACCACCGCCAGAGAGGCGACGAACAATGAGAGGCCCCTAGAAGCTGCTGCTGCTCCCCTCCCGACGGACATGGAACTCGACGACGGTCTTAGCCGCTTGGGCTGGCCGGCCGAACCCCCGGGTCCACGGCCGATGCAACCCTCCACTGTCTAATGTCTGGCACCCTGGAAGTAATACTAGTGGAGAAGGTTCTCATTCGGATCAGGATGCATACCAAAGAGTCGGTTGTCCAAAATAGTTCGGACGATCGGATAATGATGGGATAATATTATCTGGCAGGTACTACCTACCACTCTTTCCTTCCTTCCTTCCTTCCCGTTAAGTAAAGAAGGGTCTGCCTAATATATACAAACAGAAATTTCTGCCCCGCCGTACCTGCAGTATTCACAACATCTCCAGCCAGACCAGCCCTACCGCACTTATTCCTCTTCCTACCTCCTTGAACCAAATCCTCTTTCCTCCTTGTATCGTCATCGCTTACCCGACCCAATCGAGACTGGACTTCACCCAAACACCAACATTCCGATATTGGGATATCGGAGGTGGCCAGCATGGAGAACATTCTCGACAGCCACCCCGAGTATGTATCGACTTCGCGATTAGATGATCTGCGTGCCACCGAGTATGGCTACCTCGACGAGCAAGACCACGTCTACCTCGACTTCACAGGCGCAGGACTCGCGGCACGATCACAGATTCGAGCGCACGAGACACGACTCCAGCAAACTCTCTGCGGCAACCCGCACTCCATCAACCCGACAAGCCAATCCGCCACTCACCTCGTCGAGCAGGCACGAGCCCGCGTCCTCTCCCATCTCAATGCCTCCCCAGAAGAGTACACAGCAATCTTCACCCCAAACGCAACAGGCGCTGCAAGACTCGTTGCGGAATCATACCCCTTCACGAGGCGAACGAGACTCGTGCTCACGTCCGACAACCACAACTCCGTCAATGGCCTCCGAGAATTCGCACGCCGAAAAAATACACGAACCACTTACGTCCCAGTCCGCGCCCCAGAGCTGAGGATAGACCCGTCTGACCTCATGTCAGCACTAAACCTTCGCAGAGGTGGCTTATTCGGCTCAGCTGCAGCTGCAGCTGCAAAACTAGCTCTGACCCCACGAACCAACAACGACGACACGGTCAACACCAAATCCAAAAAGAGAGGTCTATTTGCGTACCCTGCCCAAAGCAACTTCAGCGGCGTCCGTCATCCGCTGTCATGGATCAGCGTCGCGCAGAAGCAGGGGTATGACGTGCTCCTCGATGCGGCGGCGTACCTGCCGACTTCCAGACTCGATCTGTCCGCAGGATCCGGCGTCCAACCGGAATTTGTCATCGCGAGCTGGTACAAGCTGTTTGGTTACCCGACTGGCGTTGGCTGTCTGATTGTGCGACGCGATGCTCTGGCGAAGCTCGCCACCTCAAGGCCTTGGTTTTCCGGTGGAACCATCACAGCGGCATCGGTTGGGATTCCGTGGCATATTATGGCGCCAGATGAGGCTGCCTTTGAGGATGGAACGGTCAACTTCTTGTCGATACCAGATGTTGCTGTTGGGCTGGACTGGTTGGAAGACATTGGTATGCCGTTGATCGATACCAGGGTCAGGTGCCTCACCGGCTGGTGCCTCGATCGTTTACGGAATCTCGAACACAGTGACGGGTCGCCCATGGTCAGGATATACGGCCCGACGGATATGAAGCTGAGAGGTGGAACGATTTGCTTCAACTTCTTGGACATTGGTGGAAGGGTCGTCGATGAGAGACTGGTTGCCAAAGAAGCATCTGTCGAAAACATATCACTACGAACGGGCTGCTTTTGTAACCCTGGTGCTGGAGAAGCTGCCTTTGGTCTGGACCAGAGGGCTTTGTTACCGCTCACCGACATCCAGAGTGACTCTGTCGACGACTACGTCAGGCTTTTGGCGCCTGTGGGTGCAGTGCGGATCTCCTTCGGGTTCATGACAACGACAAAGGATGTGGATCGATTGATGGACTTTGTAGAAAGAAGATACACCGATAGGCTGACAACAGCTAATGGCCTTCCACCACACGAACACTGTTGAAAATAATTATTACCTAAATAAACCACGTTTTTTTCAATGACAAATTCACTTATTGGTATGCAAACTGTTACTTGGTAAGGTGCAAGTAGTCAAAAGTGGCCCCAGCATATGGATCGGCGCCCAAGTACGGGCCCTCCCGCCTTGCGTGGGCAGATGGATCCGACTGCACTATGACAAAGTCATCTCAAAAGCCTTGCCATGAATGCTGTCGGCTATCTCCTCCTCGGGAGCTGTGCCGTATGATTGAGATATCGAAAGGCAAGCTAGCCAACCTTAGCACCTAAGTTCTCACTATATGATACGAGCTATTAGAGTGCCATACATCAACATATAGCCGCTAAGAGCCTTCCAACTGGTTGATGAATTAGTCTGCTGATTAACACATAAATGATCCTCTTGCAGAATGCCTTCATAGCGCTTAAAGTCTGCAGAACGAACAAGATCTTACAACAGAAGGCCCGATCGTCAGGTTGTTACTGACACACTGATGCTGCCCGATTGGTCGCCACATCGCTGGTGTTCAACAGAACAAACGAAAGTCCGCTGTGTATTAACTCCGCAAATTGAAGAAGCATTTTCCTATTTCGTCCATAGTACAGTACTCGAGCAAGGATGTTGCATGGGTGGGCGTTCCCACGAGACGTTCTCAGCGTTCTGTGTTACCTAGCACAACTTACAATTTCAACTCCTATTCGGGCTCAGTAATCACTTGCAAGAGACTAATGAAAGAGAACGATAACTCCAAACATTAAATGTCTTGTAGACTAAGAACCTCATTGGCGGGACGTATTTGTGGCTGCTATTACTTTCAAATGGCGGAGCAAACAGTGTGGGGAAATCGCAGTTTGTTGGCTGTGTTTTGTGTGCTTTCCGGGTTGTTGGAACTAACCCAGTTACCGAAGCAGTTGCGGCACAAGCAGCAGGGTTACTTTCTGACCCATGGTCGATGAAGAATCATTTCATCTCGCCGATTTCTTATCAATGGCACGATTCTCCACACCTTTGCTTGATGTTACATTTATTACCCTAATACCCTTCCTACCTCTGTGACACCTCATTCATCTGACCGGTCCGGCGACTGACTTGCTAGATCCCAGGTCACCATGGACTCTTTGAAGCCAACTTGGTATCATGAGCTTCTCGCTCTGGGCGCTCTGTCTTTCCTGACGACTCTGCGTGAGTCTTTCTTGCAGACCGCCGCTCGATACCTCATCGCTCTGCTTGTGGGGCGGCACGTTGTCAGGGCAGTGTACTACATCTTCATCTACCCGTACTTCTTCTCTCCCCTCAGATACCTCCCAGGACCAAAGGTGAGAACAATGACACAACTTAATTTGAGCTGGATTACCTTATTCCTAACACACGTGAAAAGAACCACCACTTCCTCGTCGGCGACCTCATCAACCAGGCCAAGTCAGGAAACCCCATCGAGCCATACCTCTCGTGGACGCGACAATGGCCCAACGAGCCATTAATCAAATTTACCGGCTTCGGCAACGCGGACTGCCTCATCATTAACGACCTGGAAGTCTTTAAGGAGATCTTCCAGACCAAGAGCTATTCATTTATCAAGGCGCAGTTCAACACCCGCATCATTGTACAAGTGACGGGGACCGGAATGGTGTTTGCTGAAGGAGACTTGCACAAGTCTCAGAGGAAGTTACTATCGCGTAGGCTGTCCCTGAACGGTTTCATGCTGTGGATATTCGTCCTAACGTTATATGAACTTACTCATAACTAATCACAATCTCGCAGCCTCATTTTCTCTCACCAAAGTCAAGAAGGCGATTCCACTCTTCCAAAGCAAAGCAAAAGAGCTCGTTCAACTCTTTGATAATGAGATCAAGTCTCAGCAGGGCGTCGTAGACAGTAAGTCTGGCCTCAAGCAGTTCGGCTCGACCTACTAGTAGCCAAGTCTCGCCTCAACAGTCCCTTTGCTAACCTACTGTGTTCACGTAACCGCAGTGTCCCAGGTCTTCAGCCGCGTCACAGTCGACATCATAGCATGGTGGACCCTCGGCATCGACCTCCGAGCAACCCTAACCCACTCATTCTTCCACCAGGCCTACCACCGCATGTTCGACCCGTCCCTCTTCGGCGGCATCCTCATGGTCATGAACGCCTACATCCCGGGAACCCGCTCGCTCCCCTTTGAGGAGAACCGCGTCTTCAACGCCTTCAGTGGCGGCGTCCGCTCGCGTATACGAGAAGTCATTCGCGAACGCTTCGCAGAGATTGACGAGATCAACGGTGTCAGCGGCGGCGGCGGTAGTAGTGATGGTAAAGGCGTAGAAAAGACCCGCGACAGGCCCGATCTCCTGACGCATATGATCCTCGAGTCCAGATCCATCAACGAACCCTGGTCCGAGGACGAAATCCTCGAAAACTGCCTCAACATGATGGTCGCAGGCCACGAAACCTCCGCCACGACGCTCACCTGGGGCACGCACATATTCACGCTCTACCCGCACATCCAAACGCGAGCCAGAGCCGAAGTCCTCGCCCTCCTCAAGAAAACTCCCACACCAGATTACCGCGATCTCGAAGAGGGTCTTCCCTTCATCGACAATCTCACGCGCGAGATCCTCCGCTTCTACGCGCCGGGCGTCCTCGCCGCCCGCGAACCTGTCGAAGATATCACCATCGGTGGCACCTTTATCCCCAAGGGCACCCCGCTCTACATGTTCCCTGCCCTTGTCACTAGGAATAAACAAATCTGGGGCGAGGACGTGGACGAGTTCGACCCGGACCGCTGGGATCGGCTTGAGGGGACGCCCGCGAGCAACCCGCTTGCCTTTGCGGCGTTTTTGGCTGGGCCGAGGCAGTGTATCGGAAAGGTGTTCGCGCTGATTGAGCTGAAGGTGATCTTCATGGCGATCTTGAGTAATTTCAAATTTGAGGCCGCGTTGGATCCCAAGGATGTCGAGTTTGTTAATCCTAGTCCTGTTTTGAGGCCTAAGGTAGGCTTAAAGGTGAGGGTGCGACGGCTGGAGGCGGGTGATTTTGAGGATGCGTCCTTGTAGCGAGTTTCTCGCCGTCTATCATGGGAGATTTGTGTGGCTAGTTTCTCTGTTATCTTGACCCAATCTCTTTAACAGCATGTTTCGATCACATGTGCAAGTCCCCACAACAGACTTCACGGGGCTTCTTGAGATATATTCCATCGGCCGAGAGACTTGCCGTCATGCCAAGGAACACTTGGAGTGATGTCGATTCCACACTCATGCTGAATCACTCGCAGTAGATTGAGATGGCAGCATTTCTACTCTTGGGTCAATGCAATTTGATAAGTAATATTGGTGTGATTGATGCGCTTTGGGGGCAACGTCAAATACGACCTTGAGATGTACAGCACCAATTGACATCTCTATAGTTACGAATTCAATAGCGAGCATTCATCAGAAAGAATTACAGACATCAATTGCCAATCCTTGCAGGGAATAATCAGTCAATGGGTAGTCCTGGATGGTCGAATAAGACACAGTCCTCGAGAGCTAGTCGTGCGCCCTTCCTGCTTGGCGTAGAAACAACGAGGAACCAATGACTCACCCCACTACGACTAACACCGAGACTCTAAATACCTTCATCCACCACATCAACAAAAACTCGGAATCATCATCTGCATCACCCAATGACACCCAATGACACCCAAACTCGGCCCAAGACTCTAGATATCCTAACAGCAATGGCCTCACCCTACACCGTCCTCGTAACAGGCTCCGCCGGCCACCTCGGCGCAGCCCTCATGCTCTCCCTCCCGACCCTAGGTTACGTCCCCTTTGGCATCGACATCCTCCCCTCCGCGACGACAACAACAGTCGGCTCAATCACGGACCGCGCCCTCATAGCCTCCATCCTCGCCGACAACCCCTCCATCACACACATCGTCCACGCGGCAACCCTCCACAAACCCCACGTCGACTCCCATCCGAAATCAGCCTTCATCGACACAAACATCACCGGCACCCTCGTCCTCCTAGAAGAAGCAGCCGCCCATAAAGACCGCATCAAATCCTTCCTCTTCATCTCAACAACCTCAACCTTCGGCCGCGCCCTCGCCCCGGCACCAGGCCAGCCCGCCGCCTGGATCACCGAATCCGTCACGCCCCTACCCAAAAACATCTACGGCGTGACCAAGTGCGCGGCCGAGGACCTCTGCAGCTTGATCCACCGCCAAACGTCCCTCCCCGTCCTCGTCCTCCGCACGTCCCGCTTCTTTCCGGAACCAGACGACGACGAGGACCGCCGCGCCGCCATGCCCGGCGACGCGAACCTCAAAGTCTGCGAGCTAGCCTACCGGCGCGTCGACATCGCCGACGTCGTTTCCGCCGTCGTGTGCGGGATGGAAAGGGCGGAGAAGATCGGGTTCGGGAAGTATATTATTTCTGCGCCGCCGCCTTTTGCTACTGCCGCCGCAGACAATGATGACGAGGCCGCCGCCGCCCGCTTGACGCTTCTGCGCCGCTTGGACTCGGACGCGGGCGCCGTTGTCGCGGAGGTCGTGCCCGGGTGCGCGGCCGTGTTTGAGAAGCTCGGATGGAGGTTCCTCGACAGGTTGGACCGGGTGTACGATTCCTCCAAGGCGGTCAGGGAGCTCGGATGGAGGCCTCAGTGGACCATGGAGAAAGTTGTCGAGAGGCTTGCAAGGGGGGAGGACTGGAGGAGCGAGCTGACGCATGCGGTCGGCAAGAAGGGGTACCACGCCGTGTCGACCGGCGTATATACCACGCGTAATTGAGTGCCCAAAATTAGTTCAGATCGCTGATCATTATGATGAAAGGGCGGGTGCAATATGATTGAACAGAAAATTACAGACTTTGGTATTCTCAAAATATCTATGTATGCTTTCATCAAGATATCCAATGGAAAATATGGAAAAAAAAAATGTAAATGGGTACTCAAACAATTCCGCCAACATGCTATGCAGTGCACCCCAGAATCTATACCTCAATCTCCTCCCTCACGATTCCCAGATCCCTTCCCAGATCGAGAATCTGTGTCGCAACCGCTTCCACGTCCCACGACTTGATGGGCACGCGGTGAGCACCGTCCCATTCGACCAACCGTGTCGTACCCGGTTGGCAATACTGCTTCAGCAACACCCGGTGATGGTCCAACCCAGCATCCTTCATGCCGTGGACGTGAATCGTTGGCAGCTTCAAGACGTGGTCCGTCCCCGGGCCCGTCGGCCAGTCATGGAACTCGACGCTCGCCTCGGCCGCATCACCGACACCCTGCGGCACTTCTAACCTGTCATCGAGTACAATCAAGGGGGCTCTGCCCGCAAGAAGCACGCCAAACTTCCAGTCTGCTGAGCCGCCTGCCGACGTGATGCGCTTGCCGTACTTCTTCTTCAGCTGTTGTTGCGTGTACATCAAGCTGGCACTGATCTTGGCCCCCTGGCTGAATCCCAGTAACCCCACCCACTCCCCCGTCGCACCGATGGCATCGTCGTCGTCCATTGCCATGCGTAGCTGGAAGTGGATCTCGGCGGACGCCGTCTCGGCGTCTACGGCCTGGTGCTCCGGAAGCCAACGCAGCCAGCGGCGGAAGGGGCCATAGTCGCCATACACGGAGATGATATCGTGGTGAGGGGCGCACATGAAGGGCCCGTCGACAAAGACCAGACGGAAGCTGTTCTTGAGACGGGAGATGAGAGCGCGGCATTGGACCTTAAAGACGGAGGCGTTGACGCCGCCGCCGTGGAGGCAGAGGATACGCGGGAGGTGGAGGGTGGGGTCAGGACCCGGCGGCGGCGATGTTGCGCTTGGCATTGTGTAGGTACGTAGGGCCGCTTGTCTGGCGCTTAAGGCGTGTATGTGTATGCGAGTAGTGATAGTAGTTCCTTTGATGAAGTCTCAGTGCTGCAAGGTGAAGACAAGAGCTAGGTTGTTCGGGACCGAAGAGTGAAGATTCGGGTGCTTGAGAAGAGGGCGAAGAGCGAAGATAAACGCGAGAGCAGGAGGGAAGAGAGAGGACGGGGAGCCGAGGAGAATGATAAAAGGTCGGCCACTTCTTTACTCTATTCAGAGACAGGAGAAGAAGTAGGAGGAGGAGGAGGAGGGAAGAAGGGAGCGTTGGCCAGCTCGACCTTGCGCTTGCGCTCGTTCACGGCTCCAGACTCTCTCACCCTCTCCTGGACGCTTGCCCACCTTTTGCGCAAGGGCAGCAAACAGAGCGCCAATGTGGGGCGATGGATTCCTTTGTCCGTCGCTCACCGGCCGGAGCTCCGACACACAGGCACTGGCGCCGACTCTCTTCACTTGCTTGATTGATTGCTGACAGTCTACTGACCCCGAAGAGAGCAGACAATACGGGGAATGGGATTGAAGATCGAGCAAGGCTTGTCCCTTTCTGGTCGATGGTCACGCTCGTAGGCGCGAGTCAAATATCCGCCCCCGGGCAGCCGGGGGGAGAAGTCTGTCGTACAGAGAGTCCAGACAGGGCCGCCCTCAGAAAAAGGACAGGAAGATCGTGGGGCGGGATCGTCTCGGTGTGTGTGGATGACAACTCCGCCGGGAAGTGGATAACTCGTCCCAACGGATTTCTGTCTGCGGGAAACGCTAAAAGGGCGCCTTGTCAGGTTGATGCGAATTCTCGTGAGCTTTACCGCAATAGAGGTTCGTCTCTGTGTTATGCCTCGCAAGCTTGATTAAACTTTTTGTAAAATCGAAAATAAAAAGAACGACGAGCAACGCTATCAGACCCAGCGGTATGGTCAAGCAGCTGCAGCGAGCGCCGAAGATCAGATTCCGGCAACGAGAACAAACAAAGGATGAGACGAGACAGGGCGTGGGCGTCTCTGCTCTGTTTCCTCCCAAAGTTTGCTTGCGATTGGGGATTTAACGCGCGTGATTCGGAGTTGGAGGGCGTCGGGATCACTCTCTGGTGGCTGACGGTCAGCCCTTTCTTATTTTCGCGTCAATAGCTTGGTTGTTGGTAAGACGGGACTCGGTGTCAGGTTGCCCTCTGTGCCTGTGTTCGCGTTTCTAATTCCGCGTCGACGGACAGGTTGGGAGACGTCCGGGATTCCCACTCTTGGCGAGGTCCGGTCCGAGACCAGTCAACCACATTTCCGCATCTCGCCCTGCTGATACCAGCCTGACTAATGAACCGGCGGTGCGAACTGGAAACGCAACAAAATGTCATAAGAACCAAGCATGTCGTATAATAAACTTCGTCTTGGAAGCTTCTCGACTGTCGCAATGTTGCAACGGAATGACATGGCGAGAACGGGAACAAAAAAAGCCATGGTGTTTCGGGGTCCGATCACCGAGTGTTGATTCCCGACTAATCAATCCAACGGTACTGGTGGGTGGGTGGGCGGGCGTCTCTTTCGCCGAAAAGGCCAAGTCCGTCGAGGTCCGGACACTTGACAGCTTATTTAGTCACTCGTGTTCCCCCGTTTCCTCTTTCGCTTGGTTTGATTCGGACCCGACTGGCAGACAGCCATCTTCTGCGCAAAGCATCCAGCATGACGACGGCAGGCCGACGCGTCAGATGTCGCAGCAAGTGTAAGTTTAGCCGTCATCGCGAATGCGAAGCTGTCAAACGAATTCAAAGTCGACCGAGGTGACAGCGCTTGGCAATCGTGGCAATAGTGTGTGTCCATACTCCGTACCCGCAATCGCTGGGGAATAAGGTTGGGTCGTTGGGGAAAAAGAGGTGGGGGAGAGTGAGAAAGATGGAGACCTCCCACGCCTCCTTCATGCCCTTGCTCTGCTTACATAATACACCGTATAGAGGCTCACTACCCTCACCTGTGGAATTTGCTTACCTAAGGTGAGGAAGCGAAATTACCTTGCACTGCTTAGGTAAGGTGGACCTTGATGGCTTAAGTAATACGATCAAAAGGGTCTTTGGTAAAGAGTCGGACCGTCGGCCCCGTCGCTCTGCGTTAGCCAACTGCGCAGCCACACGCCTCTGCCGCCAGCGCTGCCGTCGGTCCCCGCCATCCCTGTGCATCAGCCACATCATGACGTTTCCTGGTGTCCCCGGTGCCCCTCCAAGTTTCCCCTCTCGTACGGCGCCCACGCTGTGCAAGGTATGAGCTGTTGCTGCTTGGCTTGGTGGTGGTGAGCTGGCAAACGATGACATGACTCTCCCCCGTCTGCATTGAGAGGCCTCTCTGCAGAATATCTACACCTTACCCCGTTTTCTGGACCACAAGCTACCAGGAGCTCAGCCTCACACGCCTACGATATCCACGTTGACGACAGTATACGCCACATTACGCCCAGCAGAATTCATCAAACTTCCATCGGTCTTGCCGTAGAGCTCCATCAAACTCCAGACCTACAAAAGGAACAAACGCACAGCGATTCTCTCCTCATCGGCTCCCTTTTCTCCTTCATACTACCACCTCAAGATACCCCCATCCCCAAGAGCTACCAACTAAGCAATTGCATCGCCTTCTTGCATTGCTACTTCAACATTTTTATCTCATCAACCCGAATCTAATCAGTCATCAACGAAAGACGCCTCCAATAATGTCTGGCACCAACCCGGAGAAGCCTCCCATTCAACCGGAGCAGCAGCTCTACCCTCCTCCTCCCACCGGCGACAACAACCAACAGCAGCCTCCTCAGTACACCTCTGGGCATGAGCAGCAGCAGTACAACCCGGACCAGAAGAGCGCCGCCGGCCCCGGCCACGAGCAGCAACACTTCCCTCCTCCGCCCCCGGGTCCTCCCCCCACCAACCAGCCGCAGTTCACACATGCTCCCCAGCAGCAGCAATATGCCGCCGGCAGCTCCGTCCCCCAGCAGCAGCAGTCATACACACAGACGCCGAGCCAGCAAGCTCCTTACAACCCCGCAGACCACGGCGCCGGCCACCACTACTCACAACAGCAGTTCGAGGGACCTCCGGGCACGGCAGCACCGAGCCATACCCAGAGCGGTCCTTACACCGACCCGGCTGCCGCACATGCTGCGTACATCGCACCTGCTACCGATCCCAACCACAAGGAGAAGCGCGGATGGGGTGAGCGCCTCTCCCAGATGGGCATGAAGGCTGCCGTGCCCATCAACGCCCTCGCCAACAAGATGGGCTCGCAGAGCTTCCTACCCACCACCATGGATAGAGAGTGCGACAAGGCGGCCAAGATCCTCAAGAGCTTCTGCAGTAAGTGCCCTCGAACCACAGCCCCAACCATAAATACCCCATTGAGCACACGGCTAACGCACCATCTCACAGAGGAAGGAATCACATCCGATGTGCCTCCTCAGACGGGCGAGCATCTCGAGCCCGGCAAGCACGCCGAAGCCACCGGCTCGCGCCCCACGACGCCCAACAAGGAAAAGGCCCGCAAGGAATCCAAGGCCATCGTCAAAATCCCCTCAAAGGTCATCAACAAGGCCGTCGGCCTCGCCATCTTCACCACCGCCCGCGTAGGCTTCCAGTTCTCCGGCGCCACCGGCTCCGGCATCCTCATCGCCCGCCTGCCCGACGGCTCCTGGTCCCCGCCCTCAGGCATCCAGGTCCATGCCCTCGGCGCCGGCTTCATGATCGGCGTGGACATCTACGACTGCGTCTGCGTCATCAACAGCCCCGCCGCCCTCGCCGCCTTCATGTCCACCCGCGTCAGTCTCGGTCCAGACGTCGCCGTCGTGGCCGGCCCCTACGGCGCCGGAGGCGTCATGGACGTCGGCGCCTCCTTTGGCGGCAAGAACCCCGATCCCAAGGACAAGAACGCAAACGACCACGTTACGGACGCCAAGTCCGCCGAGGACGGCAAGCTCAAACCCGACGAGAAGGACAAGAAGCGCAGGAGCAGCAGCACCTCGCTCAAGCCTGTCTTCTCCTACGTTAAGTCCCGCGGCTTCTACGCCGGCATCCAGGTCGACGGTACCGTCGTCACGGAGCGCAAGGACGCCAACGCCGCGTTCTACGGACAAAAGGTCACCGTGGACCAGATCGTAAAGGGTCAGGTGCCGCCCCAAGGTCCCAACGGCATGTGGCCCGCCGGCGCCCACCCGCTCTACGAGGCTCTCCGCACCGCGGAGCAGCAGCAGGCTCTCCCTGAGGTCCACCTGCCTCAGGCGACGCCCGGCCAGCAGGCCCCGCCTGGAGCGATTCCTCCTCACCAGCAGCAGCAGCCGGCCTATGGCCAACAGCCGCAGTACGGCCATCAAGATGCCGGCGGCCCGCTTGGTTCGCATCCGCCCGGCCAGGGTGGCCCCGTCGCCTCGGGCGGTCTGAGCCGTGAGGAGCAGCTTCCGGGCTACGTGGATGATGGCGTGGCGCGGCCTGGTGTCGGTGATCACAAGGGTCACTACCAGTAAAGAGGGAGCGAGGGCAAATAACTGTGAGTTTGTACAGGAAAGAAGAGTGTTCGCAAAGGGCCAGAGAGATATCCCCGTGGGCGTTTTTAGTGGTTGGCATGCTTTAAGCTTAGCATAGATGAATTCGAATCAAGATATCCATCAACATCAAACTCCCGTACACCTATGACTCGCAACAGTGACTTACGAGTTTGTGACATTTCCGTTTTGCCTCAATCATACTTCATCGTCCCCCATACCCTCGATCCATGATCCACAAGTCGCATCTCATGGCCAGAAGGGAAAGGACAGAACAGAAACATAATGACAAAACTCCTCACACATCGTAAGTCTTCCCCATCCTCGAAACACCAGAACAAAATGGAAGAAAAGCCACGCAGACGCGCCAGAGAACAAACCAACCCCGGCCAACGCGCCACTCCTTTAGGCAACCTTGTGAGTCTTTTCTCACGCTCTGTCACGCTTGTCAAGAGCGTGCCTTGCCTTACCTCGACTCGCCTCCTGTCGGCCATACATCCTCCCGGGTCACACATCCACCGGAGTCACACAGCGTCGACATAGGTGCATTTTGCTTGCCTAACTGCACTCCCAAGTTCCACACACCAGATGGAAAGGGTGACAAGTGCACGGGAGGGTAGGAGACTCAGACACGGGAAGAGGAACACACGCACACAAACAGAGCAAAAGCGAGAGAAAAAGAAAGGAAGGAAAAAGCCAGCTTTCTAAGGTATGATATGGCTAACGTCCGGCTGGTGCCGCTGCGGGACTCTGGTAGGACGAGAGATAGGTACATGTCTGCCTATTGAAAGCCCGCGGACTGTTTGTTGTGTGTTTGCTGCGCTCTCGTGTATATATAACTTTTTTTCTCTTACCTTTGTATGTCGAAAGTGCGGTAGCCTGCAAACCTGGAGAGACAAGCAAAGCAGACAGCAAGCAAGAGACTGTTCCTTCACCCTTGACATTTCGGTCTAGAAAAATCACGAGATTTCTCATTTGATGATCGTTGGAGATGAGTATTGGAGTGCAAAGTAGGGAGGTAACTTGGCGAAACAGCAAACCCCAATTTGATGAACACGCAGGGGGAGAGTAAGTAAGGGCTTTGACTGGCTTCTACCAAGTCGTTCATCGTCTCGAGCGTCGAATGAACTGTCATGCTTGTGTGGCTTCATCTTGCATCCAAGTACACATGCGCCGGACGCTTCACAGACACGATTGCAAGCCATGTCTGGCTGGCTGCATCCGCACGCTAGCCCTAGTTCGATTCACAGGGCCTTCCCGAACCAAAGGGACGCATGGTCTTATCGGAAAGAAACATATACTATTGTTGCGGCCGGCAAGGGAAGCAAAAAAAGCAATGGTTGGTTCTGAGCCCCCCTCAGATTGAGAGCCGCCATGCCATCGCACTGAGCACGGGAGATCATGCAGGCGGGTCAAGTGCGGGGATGGGCAAAGAAAATGAGGCCCAATCAATAAGTCAGGTCGAGATGAAGTGATGATTGTTGAAGGAGCAAGTTTGGACTTCCAGCATCTGTTGGGACTTTGGAATGCGTACCTTCAAGCTTCTGCTTGTGAGCCAACGAGGCGCTACAGCAGACAAGAAGGATTGAAACGGAGGTCTAATGGAGATAGAGCCTGCAGGCTACGGCCCCTAGACGGCCTTTGGTCGAGCCACTGAGATAAGCGGAGAGAAGAAAGCAGATCATGATATACGCCAAATAACCCCTTGCACTATGGCAGCCGACAGGCCGTATGGAGAGTGATAGACGTTGGTGCGGCGTAGCCCAGGGGCCCACGGTCCAACTGCCGGCCGGCTCCCGTGCGGTCCCGCGTGGTTAGAGGTTTAGCATCGTGGCATCCATTAGATCAGTGACAATTAATCCAGAGCCGTCGCCAGCGCTGAATGGTGCCTGGTGCTTGTCACTGGTTGGAAGTTGACCAACGGGCTGGATATTGTTGTAGGGAATAGCCATATCGAGCAGGGCGATCCTCAAGCGATGTGAAACGGATCAGTTGGGTGATCCGCAGGGGTTCATCAGGTAACTTTTGACACAATTCAGACGACGTTCGTTGTGCGAATTGTCTTGGATCCAAATTAGCAGCGGTGATTGACGGACGGCTGGTCCTCGGGTGCTTTTAGACGTGAGCTAGGCTCCGTACCAGATGCTCTATTCCTCAAGGTAGGTCTGTTAGACTACCCACACCGGCAGTTTAATTTTTTGTTCGGTTCCGACATTCCAGTTCACAACCAGCAAGGCGGTGCATCACATTTGTGACGACCGTCTGGACTTTGCTTGTCTCGCCAAAGCCGCAAGCTCGAATCGCGGGAGTCATGCCCTGTTCTGAGTCCTCGGGTTCGCTAGCGAAATTCCAGAGTTCTCAGTCTGCGTGGAACTCGTGAGTCGTGGTGACCGGATCCATGAGCTGGTGGAGTAGCTTGACGACTGGATTTGGTGTGCAAGGTTGTGCTGAGGACGTCATCGACTCCACGACGATGAGACGGCCTGGGATGTGCAGGTCTCTCTGCGCCTTTTGACGTTTGGCAACAATGCTTTCTGGGCCTTCGTCAGAGGTTAAGTCTTCTTGTTGCTTGCTTCGGCCTTTCGCCGGCGGTTAAGAGCCCCCAGTTACCCCCTATTTTTGCCTGTGTGCCTCTGCAAAGTCCAAACTCCAACTGCCCACAACCCCTTCTTCATCTGATATCCCCACGCCAAGGAAACAGTCACTGGAAACTGGCGCTGTATTGATGGGTAACAGATCTGTCAGGCCGTGTCGGGTCAATTGAATGGGCTCTGCAGGTGCGGTGGGATGGGCAGGTCGATCGACCGTGTCCAGTAATGCTCCCCGTTTTTCTCTCTTTCCTTCGCCCTGGGCTTCAGGGTGTACTCTGTGTCCGTTGCACGATTGACACGCGGTTGGGACCGGTTCGCCGGTGCAGCCGTCATCTAAAGATTTGCGATTTCTCGACGATTAAGCTCATCGCCAAGTCCAAATGTTTGTCTTGACTGGCCGGGGAGAGCTGGCGCAATTGACTTTTGCCCAACTTTTGACTCTGCGCTTCCCGCTTGTCAGGGCATGCAGTGGAAGGCTGGAAAGTATGTTGGCTAAGGTTCACGGCGTCGAACCGAAAGTCTGATGGACTGGGCCAGCTGCCGCTCCAAGCACCCGCCGTGGTTTGGGAATGGGTGGCTGGACGGTTGAGCTTCACCACCATGCGTGCATGCCACCATGGCTTGAAAGGGGAACAAAGAATGCGTGTCTGTTGTCAGAGAAATGCTGATCGGCCGCGGTTCGCAGCAGGATCCGCGTCATGTTTCGTCGAAGCAGAAAGGAATCAAACGGCGCCGGCACAATCCCTGAATCGGGAAGCGTCACTGTAAGTTGGGGGTGTCTAGGTCCCTAGGATGCATGGACTCGAGAAATGATTTGTTGCAGGGTAACAGTCCATTGAACGGCGGACCCTTTTCAGCCAGCCTTCAGTCCGTTTTAGGACCGTTATGTCGCAGGCACCGCAGGGTACCCGAAGCAGTTGTTTAGCCAGAGAGGACATTGGCTTGAAAGCAGCGCCTCCCGTCTTTCGTCGACGTCGATCTCAACCGATTGGAACATGGGATTGGCTCTTTGGCTTCTTAGTGCTCCAGACTCCAGGTGGTTCTGTGACCGTTGAGGACGCTGAAAGGGACTGTAGACTGTTTGTACGAATACGTAGGAGCAACAAGGGCGATTGCTGAAGATTTGCTGAGCCTCCCCAGGGCGGCAACCTTCTGGAAGAAGCGCGGTTAGCAACTATTATTTCGGATCGCGGCAAATGCGTAACAATGCTTTGAAGACACCAGCTGTTTGTGGCCTCTAGGACCAGCCGCCAAAGGAGAAAGCGTGGCCAAGTGCGCAGCTATTTGGCCACCTTGGTGGAGGCGATGGTGCAAGCTGGGCCGTCCGGTTGGGAGTGACGACGCGTAAGGCGGCCCGTTTTTCTCGTGGTGCAAAAAATAGTAACTCTTCTGTCGTATGCATCTTGATTTCTAGCAAACGGAGGGTTTCATTCGGAGTAATACTGCGCAGGCGGCGGATGGCAGGAAACAGTGGCACCAGAACAGGCTGTGCTCATGTATTAGCGGGTACACTGTATGAAGCGTGCAAAGTTCTCAGTGGCAACCACGCAAACCCAAGTCAGGACTCGGGAAAGACGCTGCATCCGTAGGGCAATGCCATCCAGCTCGTGTAAATTGCGCTGCAGCGGATGGAACCAGGCGGCCCAGAGTACAGTGCACAACAGAGCGGGTTCAGAAGGGCCGATGACGATGGCGATGCAGGCTGAACCGGCGTCACGGGTTTTGGTGGCAGAGGCGGCGACTCGGCGCGAATTGATGATAGGGCCATCCGGTCTCCGTGGAGGGGTTCTTTTCCTGCCATCTATCCGTAGCTGATGTAGCCGTACGGAAACAACTCCGCAGGAGACACCATTTGTTTCTTGATATTGACCAAAAGAGAGATACCCATCATGTATTCTCTCGGCTGACCGAAGTCGGAAACGGCTGGTCTGGGATTGAGGCGAATCGACGATGATCAGCAGCGTGGTATATAGATTGAGTAGCGAATAGAGTTGTCCGAGCCGTGCAATATCATCCGCCAAATGGAGAAAATCCACGGGCCAAGTTGCCAAGTCATTGTCTGCTGTATCCGTATTGAACCGACGTCACGTTTGATCCTTAGGGCCTCGACCGTCAAATCTGTCACTATCCGAAAATGGACCGCGTTCGGCCGGCCTTTGGGAACCCTTGGGAAGGGTTTGCGATGATGCCATGAGCAGTCTAATTCAGAAAGACCCGATTGGGAGCCGCACTGCGATATGAATTGGAACGGAGACGAGGATGCGCGATTCGGGTATCCGTACGGATAGACTCGAGTGGAAGGGGTTGGCCTGAATGGCTTCGCAGCAGCAAATTGACGAAATTTGGACGGTATGCAGATGGAGGTGGGTGGAGGGAAATAATTAAGATTGG